GTTTTCAAATTATGTAATGTTAGTTTTTTTGTCGTCCCTTGCCTAATCCGACCTTCCTGGGATCACTGCCACTCGTTAGGGTCGAAAGGAAGTTCCTTAATCGGGGTCAATGGACGGTATGCTCTCCGACATCTACCATCATCTAGAACTCTGATGCGATATATGCTCGTGCTGTCTTTCCAGATGAAGGGATGCTGGTTTCCTCGTAATTCACTATCCCTTTGGACGTAGAAGACCTCGATCAGTGCTTATGTTTGATTGACAATATGCACCTGCCATATTTCCTTATTGTGACCTGGTAGCCCTACTCAGTCTCCTTCCTTCAAGTGAGGGCCTTTTCGAAAGGTATTATACCATTGAAGAGAAAAACTCTCAATAAGTTCATTTAGCGCAGATTCCGTGAGATGGCAATATCGCAACCAAACGCGCATCCTTTCTGCACTCTTCCAGCACCTTGCCTCTCTGTCCCAAAGGTCCCCTACCCTGCTGACGCCGTGTTTCACCCAGCCCTTCCAGGGGGCATCTGAGCTGCACCTCACACGGCTCAAGGGATCCGTGATCAAACGATTTCCGAACAGCGGTTGCCTGAATATTTCTTCCCATCTATCCGGAGTTAGTCGGTCAGGCGGCGGGAGCTTCCTCCATGTGCGTATGAGGTGCAGCCAGTGCTTGTCCTGCAACCAAACCAACGGGTCGGTCTCAGGCGGGGCTTCTGAGGCCAGGGCAGCGATTTGTGTCAGGGCTAGTGGGGGCCAGGGGAAAGACGGCGAAAAAATGATATGCTGGAGCCAGCGAAACATGAGGGTCTGGAATTGTGTGGCTGGATCCACGATTCCAAGTCCTCCTCTGGCTTTGGGCTGAATCACTGAGTCACATGCTACTCGGCTGATCGTGTGGGGGTTGTTGCTATCTCCTCTCCAAAGGAAGGCTGCTAGTTGTTGTTTTAATGACCTAAGCCCCCCATCGCTCATCGGCCATATAATGGATTTGTACCAGAGTGTGGCTAGCACCACATTGTTGATGACCAGGGTCCGCCCTAATAAAGATGTGTGTTTTTTGTTCCATAGTTTAAGTTTGGCGTTTGCAGATCCTGCCATCCATTCGTCATTGGTCACCGGCTTCCCTTTTGTCGTGATGAGAGCCCCCATGATTCTTAGAGGGTCATCTAAGGGAAGCCATGTGATTTGCGGGCTTTCAGGGGGCCTTCCTCCTTGATGATGCATCCACCATCCTACAGTCTTCTGCCCCCAGTTTACTGCCATATCGGATAGTCGACAGAACCGGATTTTGAATTTCTTCCATGTCCAGGTTTGTTGCTTCCATCATTATGGTGAGGTCATCAATAAAAAGAGAGCATATTGGTACCGCCTCTTCCAAAATGTTAGTGATCTTAATGCGGGAGAGGTCCTTGTTGTGTCTAAGATTGGCCGAAAGTGCTTCCATTATCACCAGAAAGAGATAAGGAGCGACGGGGTCCCCTTGTCTCACTGACCGATGGAGCTCAAAAGGGGGCGCTATCGACCCATTGACCTGTACGTAGGTGGTGGCATTATGGTGGAGGATCCTGACCCAACGTCGAAAGACCCCCAACACAGCAGACAGACTGAGCTCATAACAGGCAAAAGACACTGTCCTACATGCTGGTCTGCGTGGTGATCCAACTGTATGCCACATATCAGTACAAGCCGCTGCCAATGCTCCTACTTCCAGCGCCAGCCAGGCCATGGATTCAACATCCTCCGATGCCCAGCAAGCCACGATGCGTCACAAGCCTTCAGCAACTCCCGTGCTCCGTTGCCCCACCACCTTATCGACTGTGTCTGTACTTAGCGGTGTATTAGCGCAGCGTCCATGCGGTTAAATGCTAGGGAGATATCCCGGGTGCCCGGGTCCCGACGTCACGCCCGGTTTGGCGATCAGGTGACCGGCCAGGCATGATCCCCGGGCATGGGCCCGGGCAGCCCCAGCACAAACAAAAAAAAAGAAAAAAAAACTGAAAAAGCAATATGTTGTGTAGAATTGCAATACAAACAACTTTTTTTTTTTTTTAAACATAACCATTTCATTATAATTGGAGCAACCGAGGCTGGGGACCTCACAATTCAACCCGGAGTACTGACAGCATCAGCCAGCTTAGCTTACAGTCTTACGCCTGCGGGAAGACTCTACTATAGACTTCCCAAATTTCCACTACGGTCTCTAACCTTCTTGTTTCCCTCAGTCACGAACCGGTGCCATAATAGGCATTTCATCAGCTTTCATACTCGCGTTCACATATACTGTTTGGTTACTAGTGGCCTGACTTCAGTCTCGTGGCTAATCCTGTGCACCCTTTTCCTCCAAGTCTGCATCCCTACTTCTGGGACTATCACGGCCCAGAGGACTGCATCCGGGTCCTACTGACACTCCACTAACGGCCCACCGCGGCCCTATTGAACCGAGTGCCCTGGTTCCTACAAACAACTTTTGGCTGAGTGTCACATCAGAATTCCTCACGGAACTGAAGATAAAAAAGAAAATAACCAAATCACACTAAGGCACCCCCCTTTAAACCCCTTTAGCCCCTTTAAAATTCATTTATGCTCCCCTTTCCCCCTGTTCACAGCCAACACTCAAAAACAGAAAAGAGCCCAGATTTGGGCTCCTCTCGGTGAGTGCGGAAACCCCCCACCGGCAATTCTTTCTATTTTTTCTTTTTGTTTAATTTTTTTCCCCATGCCAGGGTATCCCGGGCATCACGCCCGGGTGACCGGCCTGTCCAGACCGGCCGGTCACAGAAATCTTCCTAGGTTGAATGAATATATTTTTTGTGTATTTTGACAGGGCAGTTAAGAAAAGAGGTCACTGTGACAAGGTTTTCGGAAAAATCATACATGCTACGTCCTTGTAGGGTGCTTCGACCTTTTTGCAGTGCTTCGTGCCTTCGAAATCATGCCTGGCTGTGTGCGCTTAGAGATTTTTTACCACAAACTGAAAGGAACTGCTGTGATTTTACAAAACCGAGGCAGCCACCAGGTGTATAGTGAAGTTTTAACAGCAAATCTTGACATAACACATTTTCATAATGAAAACAGAGTCTATTCTGCGTGCTGGAAAATCTACCTTTTTAACGATCCATTCCACCGCACCCACCGCAGCTATGATGCACAATGTCATGCACCAACCCTAGCTACGTCTAATGTGCCACACAGGGCCGATCAGAATCGAACCGTGCACCGCAGCTCCCAAGCTTCAGCCAACTAAGCTACTACGCCTGCTGAATCTGCTGATCCATCTGTTCGGCAGGGGGACAAGGACATGGGTTGCCATCCTAGCACCAACTGAACACGCGCAAGGGAAAGTTGCGGACCGACATAATTGAACCCGCAACCTCCTCATTGCAACATCATATCGGGATGCTGGACCTGGTTTCCAGCGGGTGCAGCTCCCTTACCAATAGAATGGATCATTTTGTTATTTCAAAAAAAAAAAAAAAAAAAAAGGAATAACAAACTTGTCTAGACTCTAGAGGGCATAACCAATAAGCTTAGCTCGGTTGGTACACCCATAAGCTGTTGAAATGCAGACGTGAGTTCGAATAGAATCCAGATGAAACCAGTGAATGAAATTCCTGAATTACCTAGGGCCTGTCAGTTTCACAATGATATCTCAATGGGCTGTCGCCCTTTTTGTTTCTTCCCAAAAAGAAGGGCATAGATAAGTTGGTTGGTGTAAGAATCTGTTCTTTTTCTTTCTTCTACAGTCATTCATTCCATAGAATCCATACGCCATTTTTTTACGGGGCCCCAGTAGAGTAGCTCATTGGCTGAAACCTGCTGATTTGGCGAAAATAGGTTTTTTTTTTTTTTTTTTTTTTTTTTTTTTTTG